CTCCTGCTCTGTTTTACCCACATTCTGCTACATACTGTGTGTTATAACAGCCTCAGATGATGACCCAGCACATGTTGTGTGTTTTAGGAATGCTTTTGCTGCAGATCTGACAAAACACAAAGAAGGTACCAATGTGAGCGTACTAAAGATACTAAAACACTCCACCCACAGTTTAAGAATCCGATGTGTCTTCCAAAATCTGAGAGGAATGAGGTGAGGAACATGCTTTCAGGGGTCTTAAAAAAGCAACACTCAGGTGTGGAAACTACAGAACCCGAACCACCAAAAAAAGAAAATCAACCTTCTGCTGATGGCATCTGGCATGAACACGTGTTGGTCTGCAGTGTACTGCTTTGGATCGCTACTGAGCATAACTCATCATCAGCATAAACACATGTCCTCTGTGAATCTTTCATGTGTCTAACATGTAATGCCAGACAGAATAGTGCCATGCCAGTGTCTGTCCTCACTTTCAGGTGATGTAAACCAGAAGTGAGCAGCATTATCTCCCATAAATGTAAACAAACTTGTTTGTCTGAGTGACTGGCTGATTAAGGAGTTTGACTAAGCAGCCTTGTAGGCTTTTAAGTCTTGCATTGCCTTATTTTTGAATGTGGGGGGAGGATTCTACACAATTCTACGTTTGTAAGTTCAACTTTCACAATAAAAAAAATTGCACTATTGTACTTGTTTTAAGTCAAGGGTGGGCAAGAGAGCATCCCCGGGCTGAATCCAGCCCTCCAAGTAGGTTGATCGGGCCTGCAGACACCCTGCTGCTCCCCCACCCCCAGGCCAATCAGGGTCTGTGGGTGGAGAAGCATGTAAGTGTCCTGGCCCTGCCCCAACTGTCTGAGGCCCAGCCCCTTCTGGGGTAGCCTGGGGCCACTTCAAAATTTTGTGAAATGCCCCCCCCTTCTAAAATTATTGCCCACCTCTGTATTAAGTGAATTGAAATGAAAAATAAATATAAAACAATCACCATATGCTTTGTATTCTGTGTTGTAACTGAAATCAATATATTTGAAAATGTAGAAAACCCCACAAATATTTAAATAAATGGTATTCCATTACTAACAGTGTGCAATTACTTCTTTAAATTATTTGACAGCCTTAGTTTAAAATATTCTCCTGTGGAAAGAGCAACTCGATCACTGTAGCATTGTGTTGAAAAGCTCTCTGGAAAGTAATAAGCTTTTGAACAGAAAAAGCACCGTTGTTGACTCTCATCATTTCGTTGTGAGCCTCATGATAATTACTGTTTTCCTTGAAGCCTCAGCTCCTGCAGTCAAGAGGATGTGTGATGGTTTCCGCCTTCCTTCTTAAGGAAAAATGAACTTTCTAGCCATTACGGTGGTGCAGAAAGCATCAAAATGTGACCCTCCAGTGCACCCTAAATGCTCAAAAAGTAGAAAGTAAATACAAAGAACACCAAGCTGTTACTTTTTACATCATCTCAGGATTGTAAAGCCAATGTCAGATTTTTGGTGAGTCTGATTCATGATTTCTGAACATTTGGGGTTGGCAATAGTGTGCAAGTGACTTGAAGCGTCACCTCCAGGTAGGTGCAATATAAATACACAAGGCCTTGCCCTAGTAGGATGCTTCCAATAGTTAAAAGGTGAACCATGCTGGGTG